TGCCTTCTCTTTAGGTTTACAAGCAGAAGGTGAAACACTTGTTGTACGAACACCAGGAAAACCTCACCGAGCTGAAGGCAGAGGGCACCCTGTCAGTGAAGCGGGCCCAGAAAGATCACTGGGCCCAGGAGATGGAGCTGCGGAAAGACATGCGCTCCTTGAAAGTGGAGCTGAAGGAGCAGGAGCTGGCCAATGAGGTGGTGGTGAAAAACATGCGCCTGGTACGTCCCTGGCCGGGCCGGAGCTGCCTCTGCTGCAGAAGGAGGTGGTGGGGCTGCTGGCTGAGCCCTCCCAGCCCCAGCGACTGAGCGGGAACCTGCTTCCCCATCTCCCTCCATGGGGTGAGATGGGGTTTCCCACAGGCACCAGTAACGGATGGACTTAGAGGTGCAGGGTTGGGGAGAAGGGGCTTCCTGGTGTGGCTCCTGTGGACCCTGCTCCTGCAGCAGGGAGCTGTGAGAGCAGCTGGAGAGCCTACGAGCCGCCGTCTGCATGGATGTAATTGTAATTGGTGCCATGGCGGGAGCCTTTCCCAGGGAGCAGGAGGGAGCCCCTCAGGATGCGCCTGACTAGGGATTTGGTTGTCTGCCTCTAACACGTAGCTTCTCCCTGACAGAAACAAGAGGAGGAGGTCACCCGGCTGTGCAACGACTTCGAGAGACAAGTGAAAGGTCAGGACATGCACGCGGCTCCTGCATGGCCTCCCGTTGTCAGCGTGCCAGGGAAGGCTCCTCTGAGCTCTGCTGCACTGCCGGCCTCCCTGGCAGAGCCCCCAGCAGAAAGGGGGCTGGGTTTTCCCCCAATTCTTGCTCCCCTGTGCTCCAGGGCTGCCAAACCCCCAGCATCGCACGAACAGAACAAGGCCAGGTGCCTGTAGTGCGGGCCAAGGGGTGTGGGCAGGGCGCCTGTCGCTCCTGCCAGGCCGTGCCGCTGTGCGCAGCCGCCCGGCCGTGCTTCCCGGGGCTGCAGGGTGGGCTGGCTGGAGCAGCCCTCGCAGAGTCCTTGCTCCAGTCTCCTCTGCGGGGGACGTTCCGGCTTCTCACCGGCTGACTTGGAGTGTTTCCATGCCCTCTTTCCAAGGATGCTATTTCTGGGCTATGCTCTTTGTGGTCCCAGCGTAACTGGTGGCAGCTGCGGTGACGCTGCTAATGAACGCCTTGTCCTCGAGTAATGCTGCGGTGACACGTGCTGGGCTGGCGCTGGCTGACGGCGCAGGGTCTGCGGGAGGCCCTCACCTGGCCCCTTCTGCGCTCCCCCAGAGATTGAGGCCAAGTACGCCAAGAAGACGCAAGCGCTGCGGGACGGGCTTGACTTGCGGAGGAAGACGGAGATCCACGAGGTGGAGGAGAGGAAGAACAGCCAGATCAGCGAGCTGATGAGGAACCACGAGAAGGCCTTCAGGGACATCAAGAACTACTACAATGATATCACCCTCAAAAACCTGGCGCTCATCAGCTTGCTGAAGGTACTGCCTGCCCCCCTGCCCGGCCTTGCAGGGTGTCACCCTTCCACCAAGGGACTGGTCCTGTGAGGGTTTCACCCAGATCTGGCCAGTTCCCAGGCGGTGGAGCGAAGCCCTTGAGCATGGGGAGCTGTGTCTTGCTGGGCCAGCAGCGGGAGGGCGTCCGGACGGTGTGGGAAGCTTTGAGGAGCTGGGCAGCCCCCAGGAGTTGACGCTCGTGTTCCCAAGGACAGGAGCAGATGGAGGAGATGAAGAAGAGAGAGAATCACCTGGAAAAGGAGAAGGCAGACGTGCTGCTCCAGAACAAGCAGCTGAAGGAGCCCCTGCAGCAGGCCCAGGAGCAGGTGTCCGAGCTGCAGAAGAAGTTGGCCCACTACGAGAAGGACAAGGAGGCCCTGACGGTGAGTGGCCAGCCCTCTCCTTTCCCGAGTCACCCACCCTGAGGAGTCGCTCAGCAATGACCTCTGCCACTCCACTGGACCAGGTTGTAAAGTCCTTTGGGTCCCTTTCGGCTTAGCTGGGTGTTCATAAGCTCTGGGATGGGTCTCCCGGGACCCTGGCAGCGAGGAGCCGGAGCAGCCCTCAGCCCCTGGGGCAGAGGCGGGAGGGAGTTGGTGTGGGTGCTGCCCGGTTTTTCTCGCCCGTCTCTCGTTGCTGGTCGCTCTCCTCCCTTGCCAGTGGGCACCCCCCACGCCTCCCAGAGAAAGCCCTGCTCTTTAACTGTCCCTTCCCGCTCGCAGAACACAAAAGCCCGTCTGAAAGTCACCCAGAAGGAACTGAAGGATCTTCAGTGGGAACACGAGGTGCTGGAGCAGAGGTTCAGTAAGGTGAGAGCTGCGGGTGGGCCTGGGCATCCCACTTCCCTCTCCAACCCCTGTCCCCTCCGCAGAGGGTGGCGCACAGGCGCTTGGCAGAGCCTGTGCTGAGCCGAGGGCTTTTCGAAGCTCTAATCCGGAGCCGTGTGATATCTGCTGCTTCCAACAAAGCTGCTCGTGGCTTTGGTGTCTCCCACGGTCAGCAGACAGGCCCAGCCTTGTACTTTGCTAAGCAAACACGCACGCTCCAGCGGTCCCCTCCCGGCCTGCGAGGGACCGGCTGCAGCAGCAGCTTGGGGACAGAGCCGCGGGGAGAGAGTGTCACAGGCCACCACCCCGAGCCGCAGCTCACCCCCTCCTTGTGCCGGCGTTTGGGGGTCACTCCCCCCGCTTGCCATGCCGGGGTGGCTCGGGACGAGTCCCGTTGACAGAGTTCTGCCAGACTCAGCCGCTCCCCCCACCAGCTAACCCAGATAAATCTACTGAGGCGAGCAGAGAGCTCATTTGCAATTCGTAGAAATCCCCAAGAATATGAACGTTGATCTGAGGCCTCGTTAACAATCCATCATTAAGGCAGCGACATATTCAGTGCATTCAGAAATAGGCTGTGGAGAAGAGACTGTGTCCTAATTAGGAGACATTAACTAGCTGTGAGCCAGGGACTCCTGCCAGCTTGCGAGGAGGCAGAGAGACCCCCATGCGCTGTGGGCCCCTCTCTGAGGTCTAAAACAGTGCCGCAGTGAGCCTGCCAGCCTGTTTTTTGGGTGGGGGGGTCCCGTGCCTGGTGGGGAGGGGGGAGCAGAAGTGCAGGTGCTGAGGAGGTGCCAGCCGGGGAGCGGCTGGGCCGGGCCAGGCTCTTGCTGGAGTGGGCAGGGCTGAGCTGCCGGACCCTTTTGCTGCCAGCACTGGGTGGCCACCGGCCCGGGGGTCCTGAAGGTGGTGTGACGGGGTGCTGCCCTCTCGTTGGGAGCAGGTTCAGGCCGAGCGAGACGAGCTCTATCAGAAGTTCACCAAAGCCATTTGCGAGGTGCAGCAGAAGACGGGCTTCAAGAACCTGCTCCTGGAGCGCAAGCTGCAAGGTCTCCTCGACGTCCTGGAGAAAAAGGAGGTGGAGCTCAGCGAGATCTTCGCAGCCTCCAACCTGGAGCCGGGTGCCCTCTCCTTGGTCTCGCACAAGCTGGAGGTACTGTGCGCTGTCGGGGGCCCTGGGGGGCAGAGGCTGCTCTGGGGTGACCGCAGACCCTGCAGCCTGCAAGTCCCCCTCCGACGTGGCTGTAGCTGCTGTGTTGCTCGTTCCCAGCGCTCCCAGGGCCACGCGCGGTGCCGCAGGGCTCTCCCTCGAGAGCGGAGCCTGTGGGTGTCAGAATTTGGCACTGATCTCTCCCCTGGGTGGGGCCCTGTTTCCAGCAGAACGGCCCTGGGCTAAGCGGCGCTTGCCGCC